TTTAAAAGTTTTCTGCCTCTTGGGATGCGAGCATGATGGATTATTTGTGTATGTTTTCAATAAGAGAAGGAATGTTTGGTTCTACCACTTAAGACTTCTATAAAATGCTGTGGTGTAATGCTGAGCTATCATTCACTGCTGCTTTCCTAGAGTTTATGGCTTCAACATCCCATCAACTCTCCTCCCCAATTAAAACATCTTCACTTCCTGTCTTAACAGTGCACAGACTCAACAGCACTAAGTTCATCTATCATATCCTGATTTAAAGGAAATGATCTGATATTTCCAGGATGAAATCCTTGCCCACCAACAGCAATATCAAGCTGTGTTTATCTCCCCAGAGGAAGAACTTTGAGGAACACACTATAGTCATCTAACCATCGAAAGCTTTGATCTGCTAATTTTTACTCTAAAGTTCCTCCAAACTGTTAGGTGAACATCTGAGAAGTGAACTGTGGACCACAAGCAGTTGTATACATTGTATACAAGTGACCAGTTACACCTCTGTTACCGCTCCTCCTGCACTACTAATTAGCACAGTGATGCTGGACCCAGTAAGTGAAAGAGCTTCCATTGTAAGAGATGGGTTTGCTCACTCGGCCTCCTTACAAAAACGTTGTTGTTTCAGCTCAGATTGAGCACAACAATCATGGGGAACTGATACTCTCACACAGGACAGAGTGCACAGGAGCGCTTTACATGCTGATCCTGCCACAACCTCAGCCATTCCTACCCCAGTAGGAATGAATGCTCTCTGCTTCCCCACCAACACCTAAACAAGGCAGGAAAGGAGGAACTGTGCAGGATCCCAGAAAGCTGGCAAAAGAAAGAAAATTCACTAGTTTTTCTTCTTACATCCTGTGTTCCTCATGTTCTCGATTGTTTTATCTGAAATCAAGGAAGACTTTTCAAATACAAATTCCTTGTCATCTTTCAAAGATAAAACGTAAATCACAGCACATGCTTCCCCATGATATCCTGTCCCCACAATAGTCTTATTTACGAGAAAATAATCAGTAGCAATGAATTAAAAGCAAGAAAAACTGTACTTGAGTACTGATTTGCTGAAAATTAAAGAAAGAATTATAGGAGAGCAAAGCCAAGCTCAGAAATATTTGCAATTATCAGCAAGGAAAAAACACTTTCCTTTTTAAGCTTCAAAACTGAGTTGGTGACAGCCATATTTTAAACACAAGGAATAAAAAAGTAAAAGAGAATTTAAATCTTTCACTGACATCACAACCTGTCATGTGGCAAGAGCTAGTACTGATCCACGTTTTAGTGAAGGCCACTACACGTTTGTCACTTAATCCTAAGAAATTCCAAAAATGAAGCACGTGACTCACTTGTAATCAATTTTAAAACAACTTGGAGCAGTTTCTGTGCAGCCTTAAAAGACAAACAACATATTTGGCAATACGCTTGCCATACAGAAACTACCCAAGTGCCTGCACGGCTTTGCACACTCTTGATAACATCACAGCTTTAAGAGCTCAGGAAGACACTGTGGGATATAAATAATACAGCGAGCCTCATCTCTCATTGTCCATAATCACACGGCAAGCATGGAAACAACACAAAACTCTTCTCTAAGGTACCCGAGGTACTGCTCGGGAGGTCTTGATTCCTCAGCTATTTCTCTTTGAGTCTGTTTTGTTGGGGTTTTTTTTGGTTTTGTTTTTTTTTTCTTTTTTTTTTTTTTTTTAAGGTTGAATTTTCTGCTAAACTTCACTTTGCGGTGGCAAGATTTTATCTCAAGATAAAGCTGCCGAGAGGGCAGGAGATGATAGATAACTTAATGCAAACTGACAATATGTTGTTTTGAAAAACTCACCCTCAACGTGTCAGCTTAACACTACAGTGGTGTTCCCTCAACACTATTTCAAAGTGAACTATTTGTTTTCCTGCTATTAATTTGAAGAGATACGTGACAGAGCAGACACAGGTTTCTCTTTTGCATATATTTGCTGGAAGACAAGTGTCAGTCGCAGCACTTGACCCAAAACTTCTATTTACATTTTATATAAGCTCAAATTTTTAGTTTAAAGAATTAATTTCTACCAGTGCTCAACAACTGAAGCTATCCAGTACCCAGCAGAACCTTACTGCTCTTAAAATAAGTGTATGTGCCAAGGCATCAAGTGTGAACTTCACTTTTTTTCCCTCCTTGTGCCTTTAATAGAAATTACAGTATTTTGGTTATGAAGTTAAAGCTATCCAAAAGCCTTTCATGCTGCCAAGGAATCCAGAAGTCCATTCAGCAACATTTCCCAAGACAGCAGCATCTCAGAACTGAAGCCACGTCCAGCTGCACACATTACTGTTACAGCCAGCTTAGATGTTCACAGCAAGACACAGGCAATGCCAGCTAAAGCAGCAGTATCTTGTTTGAGTGAATGGCACCGTAAACCAGGTTCAGACAACCACGGCATTTAATTATCTCCATACGCAAGCAGTGAGGAATTCAATCCACACACTAAGAGGACTGCCGTTATTCCAGCCTCAGCACCTTCAAACAGACCAACAACTCAGTATTTTACCAGTATCTGACCAGCCATGTACGCATCTGACAAAAGACACCTGTGCAACACATTTCAATCTCAAATACACCATTCAAACCAACTTCCAAAGAGCTAATTCTCCCAAAGTGCCTGTCCTGTACAATACTGGATCTTATAAACATTCAATTATCCAGTACTTACCCAAAATTTCAAAGTGCTGTTTTCTATGTAGTTACTTAATCTATGCTGCAGAGTTTAAATTCTCAACAAAGTAATACAACTAATGAACACATGGATATATATGTTAGCAAAAAAAATCTGAAATAAAGAAATAGTCCGTTTGCCATCAGATCACCTGTTTTAACAAAATACTATCTGAAAACACCATTGCCCCAAGCATTAAAAGACAAGTCTGCCCTGCTGTCAAGCAGCCTATCTTAAGGGCTGATAGAGCATTATGGCCTCTCCTCTGTGAAATAAAAGAAAACAAACAAAAAGCCGTGCTCTCCAGATTTGCTGATCTGCCGTCAGCTACACCAGCAAGCAGAACGCAAGTGATTGTCTCCTCCTCCCACCATAAACAGGCAGAGGTAGAAACGCGAAGAGCAACAGGGCAGAGGATGAAAATAAATAAAGGAGCTACGGCTGAATTAGTGGTGAAACAGTAAAAAGGGCTCTTCCTCGTGACACTGACACGCATGTTTTGAGGAACCTATTCTGTCATGCTTTTTACTGAAAACCAATAAAAGTTCAATTGTCTAGAAGTTGCAGGATCAACAGCAGGAGCTCAGAGAGGCGGTGGAAGGTGGCTGCTCACAGCTAGCACGGCGTGCCCACCGCAAACCCCCCTCCTCTCTCGGGGGGAGCCGCAGGAGCTTCCTGGCCCCTCGCCGGGCCGGCACAAGATGCTCAGCCCGGGGCAGCTATTTCGGAGCCGGACGCCGAGTGTCACCGCTCCCCGGCCGCGCCTGCCGACCGCGCCTGCCGCTTCCCGGGCGGAGCGCGGGGCCAGACCCCGCCCGCGACACCGGAGCCGGCGGTCCCAGCGCCGCGGCGGCCCCGGCGCTCAGCGAGCCCGGCCCGGCCAACCCCACCCCGGCGGCGGCGCCCGGCGGGCCGGGGGCGGCGTCCGCCCCTTCCCGCCCTCCAGAACCTTCCCGGGGGCTCGCACCACCCCGGCCACCGCCGCCGCCCCGCGCCCCTCAAGGTCACGCCGCCGCCGCCTCCCCACCCCTGGCTTCCCGCTGCCCCGCCGACAGCATCCCGCGGCGCCGCCGGGAGCTGCCGCCCCGCCGCGCCGGCTCCGGCTCCAGCCCCGGCTCCGGCCCCCCCGCGCTGCGCGCCGGGCAGCGCCCAGGCCCCGCCGGGCGGAGCGGTTCCCCCCCCGGCGCCGCGGCCCCTCACCTGGATGAACTGGATGGTGAGCGCAGACTTGCCCACGCCGCCGCCGCCCACCACCACCAGCCGGTACTTCTCCTGCCCCGGGCCGTCCCTGCAGCCCGCGGCCATGGGGGAGCCGAGCGCAGCCGATCGCGGCAGCGCCGCCGCCGCCGCCGCGGGGTCCGGCGCCTGCCTCTCTCCCCGCCGCTCTCCCTCTCCCTCTCCTCCTCCTCGGGCTGAGCAGCCGCAGGCCCCGCCGCGCCGAGCAGCGGCAGCGGCAGCTGCAGGAGGAGCAGGAGCAGCGGCCGCCCCGCCGAGTGGAGCAGCGGCAGCGCCGAGCGGAGAGGAGCGCAGCACAGGGCACAACACCGCCCGCCCCCGCAGCCACGGCGCCGCGCCACTAATGGCCGCCGGGGGCGGGGCTCATCGCCATGCTAATGAGGACCGGGGTATGCATGAGGGGGCGGGGCCAGCCGGCGCCGCGGAGCGAACGACCGGGGGCGGGGCCGGGCGTGTCGCTATGCTAATGAGCTATTGCATATGCATAAGGGAGGCCCCGCCCCCGCGCCGGCCTCGCGCGGGATGTGCCGCCACGCGTGTCCCCCTGCCCCGCTCTGCCCCCCCCCCCCCACGGGCACGGCGCTGCCCGGGCCATCAGCCCTGTCCTCATGGGATCTGCTGGGCCGCCGGTCTGAGTGCCTCATCAGCATTAATGAGCCGCTCTGGGTACCCATGGGGCGGGGAGGGAGGTCTTAGTGACCCTGCGTGCAGGTGCAGAGCCAAGGCAAAAGGAGGGGTTTAAAACCAAAACGTCGCTAATGTCGCTTCCCACCAAGAAGGGGGAAAAAAAAAAAATCATAGAGACTATATTCCTTCACCGCTCTTCATCAGGTTTTCTTGTGACCGTGCACATGAATGGGTTTCCCACTCATTTAGGCCGTTCAGATCAAGGCCACCCTCTCCTCCAAGTGTCACCCACCTCTGGGTGTCACAGCCCCATATTCATGCCTTTTACTACCTGGTCAGAGCACTCTGTTTACAGTGTGTGACAAATTCACCCTGGTCCTCTGCATGTCCACCACCTCAGCTGGGGGCAAGCTGATGCTTCCAGTGGTCACCTCCCTCTTTGGGTGATAACTTACTGCCCAGTGTGTTTCTGGACATCCAAAACACTCAGCAGGTGGCCATAGTACAAAGAAGCAGAACCTCTGCTGTTAGACCTATTTTGAGGTAATTCCTGCTTCCCTTCCTCTCCCCTTTTTATACAGGTACATCACCGTGAAATCATGTATCCATAGTTTTACATCCTTGTATACACACACACACACACATACATCTTTCTGCCACCAAAGAATGACAGATAGCTGTTTTCATGTTCCCAAATGGCATAACCACATCAACAACTTCATAAGGCAGACACACTCCTCCTACCTAGAAATGAAAATAAAAAAAAAAAGACCAAAACACAGGTAGTGGCCATGCATGAAGTCTTTGCTGAAGGGACTTGCCCTATGCAACACTAGAGCTGTGTCAGGAGGGAGGGACAGCAACCCAGGCAGTCTCATGCTTATTCACCCAAAAACCCCAGACTTTCTGCATTTGACACACATTTTGGCTCTGCATGGAGGGGAGGGTCCCACAGGCAGGATCCTCCTTCCCACCACAGACCCAGTTGGAGAGCACTGACTGCTTGGCACAGTGACTAACAGAGATCCACAGAGAAGTAGCAGGTTGTGGAGCTAATTAAGACCTAGCATCACACCATATGTACACATGGGGGCAAGTCAGTGATGTACCCATAATCTTAATTCCACCGTTTCCCAATTTGTCATGCTGAGCTTTGCAATTCTTTCATCAGATTTCTCTGCTTAAAAACCAAAAGCCTTAAAACCAAGAAAAACATAAGGAATAACATCCTTCAGCACCCGTTCTGTCTCACCGGAGGGGAAGGGTGTTCGAGGCATAGGAAACAAATCGATACTTTGTGAGTTAATAGTGTAACTGTATGAGAAGAAGGTCCTTTGTCCCCGGAATTCACAACAGTATTTTGGAAGAGGAATGCCAGCACTCAGTCTCCACTGGCTTTGTATTCTCCTGTAGTGATAAGCTGTTTTTTCACATCCGTTTCCTTATTGCCCTGGCCGATCAGAAATAAGGAACAACTCACACGGGAGAGAATACATAGCCTAATATTTTCCAGTTCGGAAAAAAAGATAAGTGAGAGGGAGATAAAAGAGAGGTCTGTAAATTCCTAAGCAGCACAGGGAAATTGAACAGAGAAAGTCTCAAAATAGGAGAACTCAGGGACACCCAGTGATACTATGAAGAAACGAGTTTAAACAAACAAAAAAAAAAGATACTGTTTTCCACAGACACAAACACTGGAATTGTGGAAGTCGCTGCCACAAGGGGCTGTGGAAAACGAAACTGCATCTAAGTAACAAAAGGTTAGATAAAGTCACAGAGCATAAAACAGCCACTAAGCACAGCGATCAGGGACACAGATTTGGCTCGGAAAGTTTCTAAAGCACGGGCAGCCCGAAGGCAGGTTGGCTAAACAAAGAAACGAGTTTCTTCCCACGTGCCCTTGTTCTGGTGTTCTCTCGCCTGCAAATCAATTACCGGTCGCTGTCAGGATCAGGGACCCGTGTGAGTATTAAGCCATCAAGATATTCTTGTAATTATTCATTATGTTCTCTAGCTTAAGAAAAATCAAAAGTACAGGCTATGATAAAGTGAAGCTGCTGCTAGTTTATCAAGTGTTGGGTGTTTTTAATAAAAATACAGCTACAATCTCATTGTTGGCTATTAGTACAGTAACCAGTAAACTCCACATGAAAAGCAGATTTTAAGTGAATTTTAAGAACACACTAATCTCTATGCAGCCTATTGGAAAAGGATATCTGATTCCTTCGTTTAAAGTTACATAAAAACCCAAACATTCTTATTTTCCCTAATATTTTTTTTTTAGGTTTCAGTTTCATTATACATAATTTTAAATAACTATTCTCATTGATGTAGCTACCCAATCTTGTGAATTCTGCAAGAAAATCTTCTTGTTCTTTAAACAACACTGACAGATACGTCAAAGGATTAAAACAATTAACACAATCATCCATTATGTTCAAAAGATTCTATTGAAAAAAAAACATTACTGTTACATTCCTTACATTGGTAAATTTTTTAATCCGGTTTCATAAACAGAGTGGCAAAGCACAAGGTAGTGATCACAGAAAAAAACAGATGGATGGCAATTAATGAACAGTGGTGTTTTTTGTAGTTTTATAAGTACATCCAAAGATCCCAGTAAGAATTGTTTTATTTTTGTTGTATAAACACAGGTAGAGGGAGAAAGCCTCAAGTATAGAGATATGATAGTCTAAAACATCTATGCATAACAGTAATTTTATACATGGAGGTGGTTGGCTTGTACTCCCTGTGCTGTCAGTGGACAGAAGGTGGGCCCTGCAGAGGAGGGTACCAGGACACCAGAGGATGTACCAGAGGGCCTTGGGCCCTGCAGAGGAGGGTACCAGAGCAGATCCAGCCATGGAATGTGGCAGTCTCAACTCCCTGCACTCTGAGCCCTGGTACAGAGTCAGCATCTTGTCTTCCCTCCCTTGCTATGAATCCTGGTTTCAGGAGACAAGGATTATTCATGTGAGCAAAGACATGGGCATGAGGATCCCACACCTTCCAGGATTCATTTCAAGATCAGCTAACCTGGAAAAGACTGAGTGGTGAGGCACTTCACCTAGCAGATAAAGACAAGAAACTTGTGACTGATAGGAGGCTGCAGGGGAAGATGTTTCAAAGGTGGGGGTTGTATGGTCCTTGCAGCCAGGAAGATAATTTTTGCAGCACCAATTTTCATATCCTTATAGGGGTAGAAAATGCAGGGTTTCATAACAGAGAGGAAGAACTTGAAATACCAAGACCTGAGATGATGAAGCCATAACCAAGGTTTTGATGAAGCAGCTGGGAAAGAAAACAGAGCCTTTAGAACCGTTACATAGAAAGAAGCTGCGTCATTTCAGGTCTAGCCTGAATATGCATATTTAAAAAGAGACAAAATCAAGAATGACATCCAGATGGCAAGCTTAAAAGAAAGAGCACCATAGTGCTTTATATAATGACAGGGGGGAAAAAAAGACTTCAGGAAGTGCTTGGGGGAAAGATCCAGAACTTTATTTTACATTGGCAGCCTGGCAAAGATGTGGGTTTGGAAGGTTAGAAGACGTGTATGCAGTGAGTGTCATATTGAAAGCTAAAAAGCGCTCTGTGAGAACATAAAAGCTTAATGAAAAGAAAACTTGTTCCCAGGCTTATCACAGGAAAAAAGTTATAAAAATCTTCAGGACGTGAGTCAGCATGGTAGGAACTTTAATCCTGAGTTTTTCCACTAATTTAGGATTATATGTGTACCTATCATTGGCACCTGTTTATTGACCTTGCTCAAATAGGCCTTAAACATCACCCCTCTTACCTCCCATGTGGAGAGTTTCACCTAAAGGAGACCCATGTGCTGCATTCCCACCAAGAACTCCACTGCTGACCACAAAAATATGTGAGGAAAGTGGTTTTCTCAAAGCCATGAGACAAGAAGCCTAGGAGAAAAGTGATAAACAATTTGGTTTTCCTTGGAATAGGAATGTAAGACTTAATTCAGAAGAAAACAGGCAGTAATTTTTCCTGTCTATTAAAAAAATCTGAATTCTTTGATGAGCAATGAGCATCCAGAAACTAGGAGAAAAGCTGTTTCTCCTCAGACACACTTATTAGTTTCTATCTGAGTAAAAAGTAAAACTATTTTCAGCCAAGTAGCTACAGCTTTTTATAAATCTTCGTCTATTTTTGCATCTACCTATTCCAGTAAAGTAGTCTGTAGTAAACACTTCAAAATGTGTCATTTTCTCTGAGGCTTGAAACTGATCTACAAAGGAAAATTAGTGATTTTTTTTTTTTTTTTTTTGCTGTAATTTGTAATATGGGCTTGTCAGGTTTGTGGTTTTTTTTTTTTTTTTTTTTTTTTTTTTTTTTTTTTTTTTTTTTTTTTTTTTTTTTTTTTTTTTTTTTTTTTTTTTTTTTTTTTTTTTTTTTTTTTTTTTTTTTTTTTTTTTTTTTAATTATTGTGATTACTTTAGCAATTCAGATGTGTTTATACCCGGTAGTAATTACAGAACAATAAAATCCCTAGAGAAAAGAGTAAAATAAACTGTGTAGGAATAGAATTTTTAGACAAGATTGTTTAAGTTCATGATGCTAAATACTTTCCCTAACATTTACATAATTACACTGAGCAATTAACATACGGGTCAATTTATAGGGGGTTTTTTAGAGGATGCACCAGCATCATTTCTTTAGTGAGCAGCTCAGGTTTTGCACACCCAGGCATTCAGGCTATTCTCTACCAAACTGAGCAATCCTATCTTGATTGATTTGATATATATGATTTCACGTCATGCTATGCATTTATGTATTTTTACACATGTATTTATGTGGCTATTTATTTCATTATATTGCTAGGATAAAAAAGAGGCAAGAAAGAAACTAGTACCGTCTAGACCATAAAAACATGAAATCCAGCCCAATTACTACTTGAAAGAAGACCCTTATCAGAAAGTGTATCTTTCCCGGTCTCTTCCAAGCTGAAGTCAGAGACTAGGGGTATAAACACTGGCCACGATATAGCACAGAAGCAAGCTCAGGGCAGATGGCACTCCATCCAGAGCAGAGTGGCCGTGGCCGTGTTGCACCGGGGAGCGCGGTGCCTTCAATCCCTTACACTGCAAATCTCTTTACATGTTTAGTCACCACTGACTCACCCTCCTCACAGTATGGGACCACATGGGAGCTTTCCCCAGAGCCTGGTGAGCTCCACATGTGCCCTTGTTCGCTGCTTGTGCTCCCTGCAGAGAGCTGCCCAAGACCACCATAGGGATCTCCATAGCATCTTCTGAGAGCTGTCTCTGGGCCAGAGGGAGAGGACAAGGCCAGACCTGGCTGGCTAGGGGTCTCCCAACATCCCAGGGGAGAGAGACTGTGCTGTGGTGCCTGTGCCTTGATGGATAACTGCATCCACCACTTCCCAATGCAAGGGCAGGTTGAGCACTGTCTCTCAGGAGAAGGCAGCTGCCACGTGGCACCACAACATGCCCCCAGTGAGAGTGCAGAGCCCTGCAGCTCCTGACTTGCTGCAGTGAAACCGTGGGTGGCAAGTTCAGAGTTGAGTGCTGAGGTAACACCTGCAGCTCTCTGTCCCCGTGCTCGTCTCAGTGTGCGTCCCCAAAGGCAGCACGTGCCACCTGCATGACGGCAGTTTGGGGGATTCACAACCTGCCAGGCTCACACTCACACCCCAGAGAGCTGCCCCTCTCTCCTGTCACAATGAAGGAGGGTCCTCTCCAGCCTGATGGTGCTCAGCAGCCAAGTTTGCCGCACCCGCCACCTCCACAATGTGGGGGGCTTCAGAGGGGAATGACCTGGCCATGCTGGAAAAGGCAATCCCACAAACCAGAGCTGGATTTCCTTGGCCAGAAAATGAACTACTTTAACCAATGCACACAGCCACTCCATGTACCACAGTATGACTGGAGCTTCTGTGCCCACAAGACTCAGAAACTGGGTTTTTTCCCTTCACTGTCAGAAGGTTAAACACTGCTGGTTTCCATTCCCCTCATAAAGGATATAGGAAACTTCTTACTACCCCCTAACACTCATAAGCCTGTTTGCTTTCTTACATTTATGATGATACCACAGAGCTACAAGAGGCAGCACAATAAAAAGGTGGTTCTTGTGTAGCAAACACCTGGATGTCCAAACCAGCCTCTGAATCTCAGCCTTGGGAACAGCCAGATTTTCACACAGCTTTCCGTGATCCTGCTACCCTGAAACGGAGAGAGGCAGTTAGTTTTCATCACCTGCCCCAAGAAACCTCTGCTACTCACCTCGTAAAAACCTGAGGGTTTGTGGGCACATCTTCGTAGGCTTCTCTTGCTTTTTTGGAGTTGGTAAGATAGTAGAGCCAAGAGATCGTGTTTCCACTTCTCACCAAAGTTCCCACACCAGTACTGTTCTAGATCCTCTTAAGTGACAGTTAAGCTTGATTAGAGAAAGAAAGAGCGAGAAATTACTTAGGTAGGTTGTACTAAATCATCTGAACCTGACAACATTTGTTGTAAAGTACAGGGTTAGCAATCTTAGAGACACTGGTGATTATTTTCAGCACTTTATAGAAAACAGGTGAGGAGTCTAGGAGACTGAAGAGGATAAATAGGTTAAAAAGGGAGACAAGGAAGAGTAGAAAATTATGTATCAGTCATTCTATTCTAATTTTCTGGGGAAAAAAGTATTTAAACAAATAATTAAACCATTTGTAAATACCTGGAAGAAAACAAGGAGGCAACTGACAACCAATATGTTCTCCTCCAAGAACAAATTGTGTCAAATCAAAATATTTTTCTTCTATGATCCATTAACAGGCACTTGAGTGGGAGGAAGCAGTATGCATCCTATATCTTGATTTTAGTAAAGCTTCTGATGCTGTCTTTCATGACTGTGTTTGCTCAGCCTGGAAAAGAGGATTCGGAGTGACCTAATTGCATACAAGGGAGCCTACAAGAAAGCTGGAGAGGGACTTTTTACAAGAGCACGTAATGACAGGACAAGGGGTGATGGCTTCAAACTGAAAGAGGGTAGGTTTAGATTAGATATTTGGAAAAAAATTCTTTACTGGGAGGGTGGTGAGGCATCGAAACAGGTGAAGATGTGGATGCTCCATACCTGGTGTGAGTTTAAGGCTGGGTTGGTTGGAGTTCTGAGCAAACTGATACTAGTGGAAGGTACACACACCTGCTCATGACAGGGGGCTGAAAGTAGATGATCCTTAAGATTCCTTCCAACCCAGGCTATTCTATGATTCCATGTTTCTCTGTGCTTATAATTAGGCTGGTCCCCTGTATCATGTTAGATGGCAGCGCTAAAGCTGGAGCAGGGCAGTGGCATAACTGGGCTTGGTGATTTTCAGTGGTTCATTGACAAAACTGAGGATAGCATCACACAGCTATCCAGAAGATCTGACGTGATCTAGTATTATTAAATATTTAGTAATAACCTAGATTATCAAACAAGAAAGCACATGTCCTACATTTTCAGAAGCTGCTTGCTAGGGGAGAAAGCAAGACTTGTGAATAACCACAAGAATTAAAGAAAAGTTCTAAAAAGAGAGAATGCAATTCAGAAAAAATACAAATATTATTCTGTATGTAGACAAGAACTTGTTAGTTATTTGATTGCAGTTAATAGAAAAAAAATGGAAAAAAAATTATTTTCCCTTTCCCTGGTGCTTTCCCTTGCTTCCTGGAATTGTGCAATACCTGAGCTTGAACTCTCTCCTTTTACATATATACTTTCAGAAATATCCTCACTTGCATTTTATTTCTCTTGCTATCTTACAGTGTAATTTCCACGATAAAGGCTTGTATTACCATTTTAGTGCAACTCTTCAGTATGATGACCTACATTTCATTTTCTGCATATTTCCTTCTTATGCTGAGATCAAAGGAGAGCTAATGATTGAGGCACGCTGGTCTTACTGAAATTCCTGCCCTCCTTTCGCACTGAGGGTGAGCTTGTGCTTCATAGCATTTATTTAGCAAACTGCCTACTCTGCTATTTCCTATAAACTCACTTTCTGTAAGGCCACTCATTTCCAGCCTCATTTCTACTTCTTTTTACCCTTCATGACCCACTCCCATGGATTAATGTTCTGATGCGATTTTTCTAGAATTCATTGTCCCAGAATTTCTGTACCTCAGCTGGATGCAGAGAGATGCCTGGTTAATTCTGAGAACTCTAAATCCACACAGGAGCAAAATGCAGTACGAATCATTTACTGAAATGCATGACCTTGAAATAGCAGAGTTCCATAGCACAGATGGAGTTTACCAGATGTCTGAGACTATGAAATTATGAGATTTAAAAGAGTCAGTACTTAGGAATGGCTTTTAAAAACTGAGATTACTGTAAAGGATAGAGATAAGGGAAGTATATTTAAACAACCACATTTATACATGAATCCATGACTTTGGTGCCCAGACTAGTTTGCCCACCCTGCCTCTACAGTGTGTGCTTACCTGTCCAATGCAGGCTCATTCTGAGGACAGTGGATTTTCTCCTCATTGATATGAAATGTAGGGTTCTTCCTTGAACCATCAGAATTGGTCTGGTGGTGATAAACTCTCTGCTGTTGGTTGTCCAGTGTTTGGCTCTTTAAGATGTTTGGCTCTGATCTCCTGGTGGTGACTGAAACGACTGAAAATCCACAAAATGTGGAATCACAGTTTGGACAGAAGAGCTGTTCTTCAAAACAGTCACATCATCTTTTAAATTTCTGGTGCTAAAAATAGGGCAGTAAGTAAGGATTCTTCACCTAGTAATATCTTAGAACAGTACTACGGTTAGCAATGGGTTTTGTCCTGTCTGCAGAGTTTCATGGATACATAAACATTATCCTTTCTCAGTCTAAAAGCTGCCTGGGGACATGAATTTCTTTTAAGAAGACACTTTTCCTGTCCCCATTCTCTTTTTCATGCATTCTATCACTGAAGTGCCACATCTCTTTGTACCTCCAAGATGCCCCAAGCTTCCCTTACTATTTGGGTCAGTTCAGGTACTGACCATAGTTGGCTATGGAACATAACAGGGCATCTCCACTGCTAGGGAATAAAGGACAGGTTAGCCTGTCTGTGTTTTCAAA